ACCGTGCCCGCCTCCGCCATGTTATTGTCCAGGTCCATGCCAAACATCTTATGGATGTCAAGACAATGATTGTAGTACACCTAATTGCCTCCCCATGTGAATTATTGGCAGTTTGTAAAGGCGAGTATTTGGATAATTCTTCTCCATTTATCTGTTTCTTTCCAAGGGCTTCACTGGAAGACAATCTTTGCAATTAAAATGTTTTTTTTTACTGGTTGAATAAATGTTTTAAATTGACAAAGGATATTATTGTGATGTCACTGATTCATCGTCTAACAAAATTGTGATGTCTTTATCAATTAGGCACACCACTGCCGTCAAGAACGATAATGAATAGCATTATTCGTTAAAACTGGTGTATATTGGATAACTATTGTTAGTTGGACCTATAGTATAGTATTGCAAAGTATCAAAAAGAAAAAGAAAAATTACAAATCTCAGTCATTAAGTTTTTCAGCCTTATTCACTAATGCAATTTATAATTTACTTAACATTGGTTTTAGATTTATGAGAAAATTAATAAATTGGGAACATCTTACACCACACCATGCCAATGATATTCATTTTCATTGCCAGGTGTCTAACCTATATATATAAAAAAGGATGAACCCCAACCTTGAGAGTCACTCACCGCCCCGCTCCTAAGCATTGTAGATGAGGTAAATCTCAGCAGATCAGGGTATAAGAGCTGTCATACTGGTACTCACAAAGAATCCAATTCCATACCTTATAAGACGTCTAACCTATATATATTTTTATGGATAGGTCGTTCGGCTTCTAACACAACTATTCAACATTTCTTGCAAAGTTATTACCCCAAACCAAATTATATACATAATATAGAGATAATATCATATATATTTCCTGAACTTTATGATAGTGTTAGAAACACTCATTCACTAACTTGAAAATGGGTCGGCAAAGAAATATACACAGTAACTTGAAAACAGGTTGACAAAATCATAAAGCATAACAAGTCTAATAACTTGACTGTTGTTATAGATACTATTTATACGTAACTGAGAGTTGCTCCAGTGAGGCAACCGTACGTTATATAGCCGACACCAATTGTTCTTGTAAACACACAGAATTCAGATTAGACATGCTTCTGTTCGAACCTCTTTTGGCCACCAACCTAAATTCATCCTCCAAATTTTCTAGAAACCGAAGAACTCTTGGGTTGCCAAGATTCTCCTTCACTATATACACATCGCCATCCTCCATCAGGAACCCAAAAGTTTTTTTATTCATGGTCTGAAAATACCATCCGTGATAGGGAGGAGTCATCTCTAAGCACAATGCAGCCAAGTTCTCAATTTCATGGTCAGCACCATTATAGGCGTACAAAACTCGACCCCCCTTCAATACACAGCAATAATATACAATATTTTGAATTGAACCCATAAGACAAAAAGGCCAAGACCAATCTCAATATCCATAGACTGAATACAAATCCTGCCAATTAAGAACTAATCAAATCCTTCACATGTTTTTCTCTCTTTTATTTTTAATCAAATATTCTCAAATAAAATAATATTAAAGGTAAATCTAAAAATTTTTTTTATTTTTAACCCATACATTCTCCAAAAAATCACTATTTTTTTTCCCAAATTTGTTTTCAATGGAGCCGAATAGGGGCGAAATAAAAAACCCCAACTTGGCCACTTGCAAAAACTAGGTCTAACTTGATACCTCAATCAAATGTTTGGAATCTTGAGAGACGTCTATACCAGTCTTGTTTCTGAATCACCCTAAACATCTGAAAATAGGACACGTGGACCACACCATTATTGCAAGATCTTAGGCCCAAAAGATGTACCCAAAAAAAATAAGAATATAAAATTTAAGGAACGAGTATAAATCTGATGATGTTAACCTCTTCTTTACAGAAATGCATCGTGCAATTTTATCAAAAAAATGACCCACACTATTAAAGTAGTAATCGTTCCTTTGCATTTTGTTTGGGTATAGCCATTGTTGGTTGAAGAAGGAAGAACTAGCAAATCATAAGATATATTATCTGTGACACCATGCTATTGTTAAGGGACAAAGCGTACGTCACACCAATTATGCATTTTAATAGTGGAAGAAATAAAGATCAGGTTCTCTACTTAGTCACCGCTGATTGACTTTTTTTTGCATGTAAAAACAAAAACTATTAAATAATAAGAGATCTCCGAGAGACTGTTTAAAAGTGAATGCTCTTTATGTTAAAAGAGCCAAAACTTGAAATTAGGGTTCAATACACACTTCATTTTTTCTTTTTAAAATAGAGTGTGTTTGGCTTCTCTACATTTAGAGAGACCAACTCACTCTCTATTTTTGTATTTTATCCTAATTGTATTTAATAAGATTGCAAGTTTCGATTTCACTACTTAAATTATTCATATTATATTGAATTTTTTTTAACAAGTATATTATATTGATATTTTAGCTATTGGTATCTAAAATTATATGTTAATTAAAAATATGGAAAAAGGTAAAACAAATAGCAAAAAGTAAAGAGCTCGTTGAATTGTATAAAAAAATTTAGTTGCTCTTTATTATGTCTAAGGTACTTTTTTAGAATAAAGAGTCTTTTCAAGATGCTGTAACCGTTTAGCTGGCATCAATCAGCTACTTATTTATAATATATTACAAAAATAAATCAGTTTTTTAACTAATCTTATCTGTTTTACCTTCAAACAGTTAACTCCTGTTTGGCCATTTTATCTATTGCCAACTTATACAGTCAAGACTAATAATCAATAAAATTCTAAGGGAACCAACTGAGCTGTGTGGAAAAATTTGTATTTCTAATGCTCAATAATCAGCAGCACTTTGAGCATAATTCCCTAAATAATTAGAATGGATATTTCATATGAATATATCTAGTAATCTAAATAGATAATTTTACATATTAAGTTTGACGAACATTACATGTTAGAAGGATTTGTCCCATCATAAGTTGCAAAAGAACAAGAATAGAATCCATATACTGAATCATAAATCTTTTAGACCACAATCTGAAAAAGCTTTTCCTCCACACCCTAGCCAAAAATCCAGATAACAACACCCACATTCACTCTCCTATCAAGACGCATTTCTCCCAATTAAATCATGATTTTCATCTTCTCAAACAAAGTATTA